AAACATACAAAAAATCTTTGCAAATCCAAAAAATGTTTTTTTTTTTTTTTTTTTTTGAAAGATTCTAGGTTTGGGTGTAGAAATAAATGTTTTCATTTGAAATTGATTTTTTTTTGCAGATTTATTAACCAAATAACAAGAGTGCGAAGTAGAACATGATAGGTGAATGGATGACAAAGTAAGTTATTAGATTTATCAATTGTGTAACGAAGATAATCTTTGTTAAAGGAGTGCACTAAGGTATGTGAAATTTATGGATTGGTTTGGGATTTGAATTTAAATTGAGTGTGATAATTGCCAAACGAGTGATTGTAAGGGATTATAATCAATCCCAATTAATTAGGGATTAAGAATTTGATTTGTTCTGTAAATGCTAATCAACATGATTTTATTTAAATTTAAAAATAAAATTATAGAAAATTAAATATGTCATTTTTAGGGAGTAGAAGAAAAAAAAAACGAAAATTATAAGAAAATGATAGGTGGACAAAATTGGACTCTTTTATTGGAAAAGAGAAGATAGATAGATATATTATACTTTAAGCAACTTCCATTTTATTTCTTTACAACAAAAATCTTACACATACTTAACACATCAGTTTATTAACATATATGTGTGCAGTGCAATATATATTGGGAACTATAATTTTATCTTTATATTTTAACAAATTTTTATAAAGTTAATTAGAATGAATGGCTAATTAAAATACAAATACGAGATGAATGATTCAAATATATAAGTGATTAAGTGTATGATTGATGATTGATTAATCCTGTTTAAGAATACATAAGTAAAACTACAAAAACATAAAAGAACGAACCTTTAATTCCTATTAAGAAAGTAAATGGCATGTTCTTGCATGTGCAAAGAATAGTTCAAAATTTCGAGTGAGTTTTATATGCTATCATAATTTAAAATATTTATTGATTTATATTAATGTAATGAAACACAAATAACATAGTAAAATTATCACATAGAAAAAAAAATGACAACTATTACAAAAATCATCCCATTTCAAGGCTTATTCAACACTCGAGTAGATTATGCGATTATGTCATCATATATATTCAAATGCATTGGCTAGTGTAGGTTTTTTGGATAGTTAAAATCAAATTATTAACTACATATGTTCATTTATATAAGGTTTTAGAGTATTTTTCTTTGTTTTGCAAGTTACTCCACATATTCCTTTGATTTCAAATTAAAAGATCACATCTTGCATTTATTAATAGTGGATTTATTTTAGTTAAAGGCGAGATCAATATTCAATGGGAATGAGTTAAAAATGTTTAATTTCTATTTTAGACGGTTTTATCATTTATGGCAAATATTAATTAATGTAAGTTAAAATTACAATTCTTCTCAAACAAGATCTACAATATTTAGTCTGTGAATTCATATATTGTTATCGCTAGGACAACATAATTTATCTAAAGGTAAATGGTTTATTAAAAAAGATTTAAACAAGCTAATAAGTAATAGCCAATAATGCATTGGTTTAGGCGTTTAGCATCTTGCTTTAGCTTTAATCAAGCAAAGGTTTTGTACCATACATACTTTTCTGCAACACCATTATAAATATTAAATAATCTTGTCCTTGTGAACCCCAATGTTGAGCTGTAATTAATTTTTTTGTCATTATTCTTAAACTTATATGGTATAATTTTCACGTTATAAAAGGGTGGTTTATGACCATGACACACACATTAGAGTGCAAATATGTGTTTTTGTTTCGGATTTAATGGTGGGAGGAAGAAAGATAAGGAATCAGTGTCACTAAACAGATCTTCTTTAGAAGGTGGAGGCGGAGGTGGAGGTGGTGTTGGTGGCAACCATACTGAAACCATCAGTGGTCATGAAGTCGGAGGCACAGCAGTCGTAGTGGCAAGCGCAACACATGTGTCTGATCCTAGTGGTGGTGGAAGTGGAAGTTCTCATGGTGGCCATGGTGGTGGCGGATATGCCGGTGGTGACGGTGGTGGTGGTGGCATTTGATGGTGGTTGTGTGAGGAAGAATACTTAGTTGTTTATTATATTGTTTTGTAACCGGTGATTTGAATTACATAAGATTGTGTTTTGTTTTGTTTGTTTTTGTGCATTTTAAGTTTTATTTGTTTATTTGCTTACATATCTTATCAAAAACTAATTTCCGGATCATATGAAAAAAAATATTCGGCATAAGCATATTAATCACACATTTGTTAGTTGTGGTATGGTTAGATAACATCTATAAGGAGATAATAACTTTTTTATTTTCTTGCCTATTGTATCGTGAAAGCATAAATGGGATAAGAATCCATAAAAGATACAAAATATTTCTAAAATATTTTAAAATAGTCTAACGAAAGACGAATTACAACATGATTTAGAGCATTTACTATTCTGGACTTTCAAGGTAATCTCAGTAGACACTTCGATCAGATAAACAAGTGTTTGAGGGTTAAAATTGCAAATTGATGGATGTAAGGGCATTTTTTTCACCTCTCACTAGGCTACTAAAAAATTATCTTGATTTTATATTAATGTAATAAAAAAAGAATAAATGTACGGGAGGATGTGTTTTACAAAACTAATTGTTACTTGTAACATTCATTTGTATATGAAATGAGTTCTGCAGCATCCACTGTTATTCCCTGATATTAGGAGGTTTGGGGGAAGGGCTCAAGTTTGGTGACTATACTAAGCAGCAAGTTTTAGAACTACGTCACAAACCTCTCTCCTGATTGAAACCACCAACGTTTGAACTTACAATTTCTCTCATGAGGTGATTAAACTTTACCCGGTGAACCAAAATATGATGGTTTGACTAAATTACATGAGTGTATCCAACAAAAATAATTGAAAACTTTTAAAATTAAAATATAATTATAAAAAAAATTGTTTATCTAATAACAATAAAGAACTTTTCTTTAAAAGTATTGGTTTAGGGAACTAGAGCCACAACTAGAACCGTCAGTTTCTTGGAATGTAAGAACTAGAACCGAAACATTTTACATTGGTTCTTGAGATTTGGAAGTGTTGTGCAACCGGTTTAGTATCAGAGTGGTACCAAATTTCATTTAGATGTTAATTTTCTTAGCATTGCAAAGTAAATAAATCTAATAACACTTGTTACTTCAAAAATACAAAGCATTGTGTATAGTGATCGTGCAAGGTTGATTTAGCATAGCCACACATGAACACCATTTTCGGACCTTCATAGGCGTAGATAGCACAGTGGAAAAGAGAGAAAGGCTTCTTTCTCCCTTTTCTATCTCTTTATCTCGACGAACTCATCCACATGTGAATACCATTTAAAGAAGATGTAGTGGTGTTGTTGATGAGATGGTCGTATTTGACGCGTTAAATACTCTTGATGAACTACAATTATGATAATTTGTTGCAACCAACAAATATTAATAAACAGAATATTTTATTTCCATGATAAACTATTAAATCTGTTGGATTAGGTGTCTTAAGCTCATAATTATTTTGGTATGTACTTGACCCGATTATGAGCATGATTCTTTTGAGTTGCCTTCACCATAGCAACTGATAATATTAAAAGAGAAATCATATTGTTTAATTAATACTGATCAAGAATTAAATTAGAACTAATTGTGTGGTCAAAAGAGATTAATTAAATAAAAGGGACTAATACTGTAATTATAAGATAGTTACAAAGTTGGGCTTAGGATCCATAAAGAAGCAATGGACGAATTCTATATGAGGGTCCATATAGAAATCATCCAAGGGGCCTTCTGGAAGGATCTTTGGGCTGCTTAAGGTCTAAGCAACTGGATTAGGGTTTCCAAGTTAAAAACCCTAGAAGCCTAACTATAAAAGGAACCCTATAGGCCACCAAAATTCGTCCATAACCTTCTATGAGAGCCTTTGGATGAAATTTGTGCCTCCTCCTCCCTCTCCTAAGTCATCTAGTTGCTAGTGGTGTTTGTGACTCCATTAGAGGTGCAACACTTGGAGCAATAAGCTTTCAGTAGTCAAGATCAAGAAGGTTTGAGATTGTTATTGCTACATAACAATCAAGGTAATATTACTAACCCTATTCATATGTGATTTTCAGATTTGTATGCTAGTAAATTAGGGTTTATTTTTGGTATTCAATATTGTATGTTCAAATTAGAAAAACCTAGATCAAAGCAATTAGGTTGCATGAACACAATAGGAATGATGTTATGCTCACAATCCATCAGTGGTATCAGAGCCTAGGTCGTTTTTCTAGTAGAATAGATGCAAAAGTGAACTGCCAAAGGATCAAAAGGTCGAATTTTTGATGTATGTGAAACCGACTCGACGAGTTCATTAATGGACTCGACTGTAACATCCCATTTAAAATAGAATAATTTAAAATAATAAACCCAGGATCCCGAGAAATAATAATTATTATTATTTTATATTATTATAGCCCAAAATCAAATAATAATTAGCGGGGTGTTGGTTTCGGGAAGCCAAATGACAATATTCGAATCTTCGGAGGCTGAAGTATAACTTAAGGATGTATTTTGCAAAGATTTTTAGAAGTTAGGGTGTGTTTGGTAAGTATTGAACTGGATTTGAAAGAGATTCAGAAGGTAAGGACTAAATCGTAAAATTCGGACTTGATTTGAAAGGAATTATAGGAGCAGGGGTCTAATGGGTAAATATGGGAGTTATTTCGAAAAAAGTTTGTTGGAGAGGGGCCATTCCTGCTATTATGGAATGAAGTTGTCTAAGGATCGGGTATTTAACTGTTACATCTCCAAACCCTAACCCTAAGTGAGATTCAGCCGTCACCACCCCCTTTCCTCTCGTTTTTCCCGATCGACGAAGACCACCGGTTGTACTCTCTTCTTCACGACGAGGGCTACCAATACCGACGAGGGTTGTAGGGTGTAGTGGTACCTCATCTCCGGTCGCCGCTACACCATTTCTATGAAGACAAAGCCATAATGGTGGTGTGGCTGCCAATGCTGCTGTTCCGACCCTTTCTTCCGGTCTTCCCCGCTACCTTTTACCATGGATGCCGATGAAGTTTGCTACCATGGCTGTTGATGGCGGAGCTGCCGGCGGGGATGTGTGTAGGCGTCTCTTCGTCGCCGTCGCTGCTGCTGTACCCGGTGAATTTGAACCACTTTCTCTTTCTTCTTTCCTTCCCGATGACTGCCTCACCACTGCTGATTGGAGGCTGATGCTCTCGGTCGCCGCATGCCGCCATGAAATGGTGATCGAGTTCTTGGAATCGCGAAGCTGTTGCCCTTCTTTTGTGTCACCGTCGCCTGCTGCTACATTCCGTCACCACCAGCCACCATGGAAGGTGGTTGTGTGCGTGCTTTGTATGTACTTAGGTGTGTGTGTACAACTAGGGCTGTCAAATCGGGCAGTCGTGTCGTGTTTTTGTCTGACACGACACGACACGACAAGGTTTTGTATAACACGAACACGACACGACACGATGTCGTGCTTTTTTTCATTAACACGAAAACGAACCAATTAAAACACGAAAACACGATACGACATGACAAATATAATATTACATAACTATTAGTGTATTTCGTTCATACTTAAAGATATATAACACGACAAAAACGATAAACATGAAAAACACAACAACCACATGCTTAATCGTGTCAATTTTGTGTCGATTTATGAGCACGAACACGACACGACACGACATCGTGTTTTTTAATCTTGACACGAAAACGACACGAACACGAATTCGAATTTTGATTTCGTCCCGATTTCGTTTCGTTTCGTGTATTTTTGTCGTGTCGTTTCATAAATTGACACCCCTATGTACGACTGTTGTATTTCATTAAGAGTGTGTGTGTGTGGTTTGTGTAAACGGGAAACAAAAGTGAGCCACCACCACCACCGTGAGGTGGTGGCTAACACCTCCGACCACCGCCTGCCGCCACAATGCGATTGTGTATGTGTGTGTATTATTTTATGTGAGTGTGTATATGTGTTTGAGTATTGTTGTAAAATTGTAACCGTGTGGAAATAATCAACGAAAAAAAACTCGTAACCACCACCGTGAGGTGGTGGCTACCGCCGTGTCGGGTGTCGGTGTGCTTTGCCTTGTTGTGTTTGATTTGTTCGGGATGCTTGAAACCCTAATGGGCCCAATGAAGCCCTAATTGACCTAAAAGCCCAAACATGTGACTAATGGGCCTAGTGAAACCCTAATGGGCCTTATGAACCTTAATTGATCAAAAACCCTAATATTGGATTTATGGGCCTTGGACTTATCGGGACCCACTTTTGGGCCATTGGAATAGGATTTGTGTATAAAGATCAATCACACCATATGATTTATTTAGAAGAGTGATGGACTTAATGGATTAAGTCCTTAATGGGTTAAGTGAGAAACACTTGACCTTAGTTATCATTTTATGTGAAACCCTAATGGCATAAAACCTCGATTTTAGGAATTGATCGTGACACACGAGAATTATTTAATAAACCTAAAATAATGATTAATAATCATTGGAAAATCAACCTAAGGCAATATTGGACTTAGTGGATTAAGTCCTTAATGGGTTAAGTAAGAAACACTTAACCCTAATCATCATTTCATGAGGAAACCCTAATTTCACTTGGGCCTTGAGTGGGCCATTCTATTGGGCTTTGGTGATTGGATTATTAATGGGCTTTCCAAGAACAAGTTAGTGGACTAAAAGAAATGGATGAGTTTTAGGGTAAGTGTAACAACCCAATTTTCACATCCAAAAATTTCATTTTTATAAATTACTTTAATTAAAACATTCGTACGAAAACATTGTCAACTCATAACATCTCATAAAACTATGTATAATGTCTGAAACTCCAAATCATGAAATAGTGATAATATCAGAGTACAATCCAAAGGAAAATTCATAATGCGGAATCTGAGGTGTGTGTATGATGTATAGCTACTGCGACGTCTTCTTCCCCTTCGCTGAAGAGGTACTTGAAACAAAACTGAAAACTGTAAACACGAAGCTTAGTGAGTTCCCCCATAATACCACATACCATACAATATATTGTCAGGCAATTCTGGGGGGCCTGACTTACCTAGGCCAAACCATTCTGGGGTGTTTGATGTACCCAGGTCAATCCATTATGTGTTGCTTGATGTACCTGTCGGTCTATTCCACCCGACAACCGGGGACTATTTCACCCCTACTATTACCATATAACACATAACATAACATAATGTACTGTTAGAAAATTCTGGGGGTGTCTAACTTACCCAGGTCAAACCATTCTGTGGTGTTTGACATACCCAGGTCAAGCCATTCTGGGGTACTTGACGTACCCGTCGGTCTAATTCATCCGACAACCGGGGACTATTTCACCCCTACTACTACTACTACCACATAAACACATATCATGAAAGCACATAAACATAACAGGTAGCAACAAATCTAGATGAACATCACAAAGACAATCATCCAACATACAACTCCTACAAGTGGGCTGACATTGTGGTCGTAGACCCACCACTACTAAGGGTATTATAGTCATTTTAATTTTCGGAGGGATCAAATACGCAACAGAACTAACTCAAAAAGACCACCAATCCAAAAAAGTCAGGGTTTGGACCAAAACCCCAAAAAAATACATACCATAGGGACCATTTTTGCAATTTTGTCATAAAAATATTAGATAAGTTTTAGATACTTTATTATAATTATAAAACTTAGTTACAATTCAATATACTTTTTATTAAAAGTCTGTTTGAAATTCTTTTTCCACAAACAAATATTTCAAAGTTTTATGATAATGACTCAAAATTTAATATCGACAATATTTCAATTTTTGAGATTACATCTTCAAAGTTTCATTCCAATATCTTTGAAACAACTTATATGGATCAACATAACTCAAGAAAATTCTAATTAACATATTTAATGAAAAAATTATAGGTATTAGGCATTTTCATATTATCAACCTCATGAAATAATTCCAGTTTGAAAATTAATTTTCTTGTTAAAATATAATTATAAATATTCAAGTTCACGTATAAGCCCAAAACCAAAGTCCAAAATCAGGTTTAACAAACTGCCCAGAGTTTGAAGCCCAAAGAATCACACCAACCGACTTTATGACATCTTCATCTTACTCAAAATACCACTTCGAGTTTCCGACTCTCCTACCTTAATTTTCCCGCAGCAACAAACGCAAATCGATTCTAGCAGCTTCGCAGACATGACTCAAAAACCCAGATGGGGCGAATTGGAGGAAGAAGATGATGGCGGCGACTATGACTATTTGTTGCCACCGAAACAGGTTATTGGACCTGACGAACACGGCTTGAAAAAGATAATCGAGTACAAATTCAACGATGAAGGAAATAGGGTTAAGATTACAACCACCACTCGCGTCCGTAAACTCGCCAATGCTCGGCTCAGCAAACGCGCCGTGGAGAGGCGTTCTTGGCCTAAGTTCAGCGATGCCGTTCAAGAGGACGTCGGCGCCAGACTCACCATGGTTTCAACAGAGGAAATCATCTTTGAGCGCCCTAGGGCTCCAGGTACGTCATCCCTAGATCTGAAATTCCATACAATTGTAACATACCTTTATAATTATCCGTCATAAAGTTATGCTAATACATGTGTAGTTGAACAACTTTATTTTCATCTATCCCTACTTCTCTTCATCAGGTCTATCACCTAGATCAACTGTTTCAATTCACTTTAGATCTTCACTGCTGCCTATTAGATATACTGATTGTGATCTTTGTTGTTAATGCCAACTTCAACCCTTTAGGTACAAAAGCTGAAGACGCAAATGCATCTGGAGATCCATTAGCTCAAATGTCTAAAGGAGGAGCTGTATTGATGGTATGCAGGACATGTGGGAAGAAAGGTGACCACTGGACCTCAAAGTGCCCTTACAAGGACTTGGCTCAGCCCACTGAGTCCTTCACTGAGAACCCAAACCCTTCAGACTCATCAGCCACGGGTGCAACCAAGGGTGCATATGTCCCACCCACGATGCGTGCGGGTGCGGTTCGAACCACTGCTGGTTCAGACATGAGACGTAGGAATGATGAGAATTCGGTTCGGGTGAATAACCTTTCAGAGGACACCCGTGAGCCTGATTTGCTGGAGCTGTTCAGACCTTTTGGGAATGTGTCTAGGGTTTACGTGGCTATGGATCAGAAGACTGGAATGAGCAGAGGGTTTGGGTTTGTTAATTTTGTGAGGAGGGAGGAGGGTGAAAGAGCTATTGCTAAGCTTAATGGGTATGGTTATGATAACCTTATCTTGAGTGTTGAGTGGGCTGCTCCCAGGGCAAATTAGTCTTTTTGTTCTTTTTTCTTGCTGAAGTTACATTTGTTTTTAAATTTTTTTTTTTTTTAATAAAATTCCCTTTAGAATTGTTCGTTTGTAAGCAAGATTTTTGGGATTTGTTTTTGAAAGTTTGATGTGTAAATAAAAAGTTAGACTGGTAAAATATCCTGCAGATTTTGCTCAAGTTTTTTAGCAGACCTTTTTTTATTTATTTATTGAAGTACTAAAACATTCAACACATTTTTTCACCAATATGTCTATATGATAACTACAAGGCTTTAATTTAGAGATAACTGTAAATTTGGTCGTTGTATTTGTCAAATAGTTTCTAAACTATCAATTTTACATTCAAGGTCTGTAGGCATGTTTGATTGTGGTTTTAGTTCCATCTAATTTGTGTTTTAAGTTTTATTGAAAGATGGTTTTACACTTTTACTTTCATATATATGTTTTATTATTTGTTTACTTGTCTATTAATAAGTGGGACCCACCCTACATGTTCCTGCTTGGCTCCCACCAGTTTATTACATTGCAACTCCTTGCGTTTCTTAGAAGATATTTGGATAGGAAAAAAAAAAAAAAAATGCTTATTGCTTATTCTCATAATAAGTTAATTTGAGTGTTTGGATAAAATCCAGTTTATTAAGCTAAATAAGCTAATTTTAACAAACATCCTTTCCCATGCTTATTGTTTATTCCCACCACAAATAAGTTATAAGCAATAAGCTAAAAATCTAATCCAAACACCCTCTTAACTACGTTTCAATGTTTCATGACTTCCACTACATTTAGGGATGTTAACGGGACGAAATGAGAGATTTATATATAATGAAATTACATAATTTTAACTTGTTCTTGATGTAAAGGATTGACGATGGTTAGTTAATTTGATTATCTTGTTAGGTTTTAACTGGAAAATTCATAAGACTTGTGTTCAGTGTTATGAGAGATTCTTAATTGCATTTATTATATAAAAAGGGTTTCATATTAGAACGCATACTCGATTATCATCATTGATTAATTACAATTTGGAAAGTTTCAGGTTTGACTTTTCAAAATCACAAGTGAAATCTATTAGACTCATCGCCGGGGGAAGGGCAGCGGGACCCATTCCCGCTCACCGGAACATTGCACCGGGAGTGCGGGAACGCCGGTGCGGGGAGGAGGTGGGGGGGAGGGCTTCATGCAGTCTATCTTTTGTTTTTATTGGCCGATTTTTTTTTTCCAATTTAACCGTTGGAAAATCGGTAATAAATAAAAAACTTATTTTTTTCTCCAATCCATCCGTTGAAAAACAGTATTTTTTTTATTTAATGGCTACATATCCAAAATTTAAGCTTTTAATTTTTTTACCCTTACCACATCTATAAATATACACATATTTTAACCTTCAAACTCACCTCCTTCTATCAACTTCTCTCTACTTTCTTCAAAAAATGAATTCCGACAACCAATCCTCAAACACCGATAGAAGAAAAAAACCAATGTTTCGAGTTCAAGCACCCCAAATCGAAACATTTTCGCTATTGATTAATCTCAATGGGTTTATCGTAAACAACTCGATGTTATCATTTAATCTCAACTACAATTCTAATACCAAAATGTTAGACAATTTTACCCGGTGCAAGTACCAAATGTTACTCCAAATATATTATCAAACTTTGTTCTTTTTCCCGATCAACTTTTGCCAAATCAACCCCAAACTCAAATCCCACTCTTTCAATGTCAAACCCAAACCCAAACCCAAATCCAAATCCAAACACAACCCTCTCAATCTCAACCACAATACCAAATTTTCGATCAATCGGACGAAGAGATTATACGGGAAACTCAAACCCCCCCCCCCCCAGCGCGCGCGCCTGAAAGGAAAACAACAAGTGAAGGAAGGTGCCGCACAACCGGGAAGACAGAAGACGCAAGCATGGACTCCACAAGAAGAGATAATTGTGGTAAAAGCTTGGTTAACATTTCAGAGGATTCGGCAATGAGAAATGCACAACCAGAGGATCATTTTTGGTTTCGCATTCTTGAGAGGTTTCGCAAGGAGATGGGAAAAGGTGACGAGCACCGTACCAATCATCAATTGAATTCAAAGGTTCGAGAAATATTGGATGTCATTTAAAAAATAAACGATTTGTACAACAACCTAAAAACCCAACGGAAAAGAAGCCAATGAGATGAAGAAATACTTCAGGAAGCTTTGTATTTTTATCTAGAGGGAGTGGGAAAGCCATTCAAGTAGCACAATTGTTGGCGAATATTGATTAAAAGTCCTGAGTGGAAAAAATACGAGCAAGACTTTATACTTGCAGTACAACAATCAAAACGAACGAAAACGGGCTCTAGTGGTTACACAACTTCCTCCGATACACGGTTCGGTCTAGATTTAAATGAGGAGGACGAACTCAAGCTAGAAAAAATTGTCCGACTGATGGGTAGGGATAAAGCAAAAAGGAAGGGAAATGAGACTTCTTTGGGTGCATCGAATTTCATCATTGTCGCGGACGAAATGCGGAAAATGACGGAGACATTTGATCGATATAATCTTAATTTCGTTGAACGTTTGGCGTCCGACAAAGAAAAAGAAGAAGCAAAAAAGAAGGAGCACACAGAGAAACGAGAAATGGAGGTTATGAGGTTCTTGATGGAAAACACTGAATATTTTTCGGGACCGACTTTGGAACTCGTTTTAAAGAAAAAGGAGCGGTTATGCAAAAATATTTTCCGTAGATTGTTTTTTTCTAGTTAAATCTTAGGTTTTTTATGTAATTTTTATTTAAATTAATGTAGTGGTTTTTATTTTTAATTAATTTTATGTTTATTACTCTTTTAAAAAAAAATTATAAATCATAAAAATCAATTATTATTATTATTATTATTATTATTTTAAAAAGTGAATGAAACTTCCCACACACACCCTGACTTTTGGTGAGAGAAAAAAAAGTGGAGGAAATGATAATGTGACAGACAAAAAGTGAGGGAAACTTCCCGCACGCACCCTCCGACCTTATGAATTTTAGATGAAAAATATATTCTTGGAAGAAACGTATATATATATATATATATATGTTATGTATTTTGAGTTTTCCATTAATCAGGTAAACAACCCAAACCCATCCTTGAAAAAATACTTTTACAAAGCTCTGATAATGAGAGCGGTATAAGGGCTCCATAAAAGAAAGAAAAAGTTAATTTAGATACTGGTTCAGTGAACATACAAAATGATGAATTTGAGTGGTGATTCAAAGGCATAGGAGCACAAAGTAAACCCCTATGCTTCTCAAGGCATCTAAATTTAGATTTGTTAAACAATCATTTTATATTTTCTCATTGTTTTCAGAATGTATTGGCTTCTTGCAATACAATTATGCCAGTTGTTAACTTATCAGATCCCACTGAAAAATTGATAGATCATCGAAGTTGCTAAATTTCATTCTAGGGGTGTTTGTTTTTCATGATTTATCACCTAAATGAATGGAAAATTGTAATACAGCTCTCATATAATTTTTAATGACATGAACCTTTTTGATGATTGTAATCTAAATTACAATTTTATACTTTAATAGTTATTGAGTTCAAAATGGTATGCATTTGTTAGGTTTGGTGATGAAAAAGAGATAACAAGGGATATGAATAAAATCAATGGCATGTATGTTTAACTAGGAACATACGAAGGAACATACAAATTGGTGTTGCAACCCTCAAAATGGCACAATATAGACACCTTGGACTACGAACAAGGTGAGATTTTATGGTAACATAATTCCCCCTTATGATATGGTGAGCTTTAAACTCTACTTGTTTTTATAACAGCAACACAGACTATATATTAATTCTACTATTAATTAACCAATCTTTATAGTTAGAAAATCGAGAAAATCAGTAAGCATATTTTTATTCATCTAATTAACTAATCAATGTAGGTGTAAGTCTAAGAGTATTGGTAAAGGTAAATTTAATTGGCCTTTATAGTAATTAAATGATACTTATAGATACGTGTTGGGGAATAGGAAAGAAGTTCTAACTGTATGCAAGATATAGCAACATATTTTCATCTATGTGTGTAATAGCATGCTACTCTTATTTCTTTTTATTAAGGCATTGTACTATGAAACTCCTAAGATGTTGTTAAAGACTTAAACTATGCTTTTACTATATTCTTGGGTCATCTTCTTACAACTTTGCATTTTTATTTTCGTTTAACAGGATGTTTTCCTATGAAAAGTTCATCAAGTAATAATTTTTAAAAATATGCATATCATCCTTCATTAGGTCGTGCTTAGCACGAGCCTCAAAACTTACCTAGTATATATATATATATATATATATATATATATATATATATATATATATATATATATATATATTACATAATGGGTACTACAAGTGTAACAACGTAAATTTTCAAAACAAATTTTCATTTTTTGTTAAATTATACTTTCAATCACATGATAATCTCAAAACATAACGTATCAATGTGTCATACAAAACATGTCCCCATAATCTCAATAACATAAACTTTATGAGTGTGTACGGATCATGCCGACGCTTTCTCGCGATCCTCGCTAGTACCTGAAACACATAACACAACAACTGTAAGCATAAATGCTTAGTGAGTCCCCCAAAATACCACATACAACACATACGCCACTCGAGGCTACAGTACGACCCTCTGGTCGATGTGTCTCAGTGGGACCCTCCAGTCTCGTAGCACGTTGGACCCTCTGGTCCGATCATAGCTCATCGGACCCTTCGGTCCGGTCTGTATCGTTGGACCCTTCAGCCCGGTCTATATCGTTGGACCCTCCAGTCTGGTCTATACAACACATAGCATACATATATCACATAACGTAAAATATCATACATACACATAGCACACAGGACCCTCCGGTCTACACATAGATACCACTTTAGGTAATGTATAGTGAGAAGACTCACCTTGGGTAACTCGGATAATCTCGCACTCGAATATATTGATCTAGCCCCCCCCCCCCCCCGGATCACATACACAATATCCTCAAATAAATAATGGCTCTCAAAGGCTAGATTAAATATTTTTTTACAATCCCACAGAAGGGTAAAAGACCATTTTACCCCTTCTTGACCCAAAAGTCCAAATGTTGACCAAAACCCTAAAAGTCAACGAAAGTCAACAGGGGCAGTACGCGGCGTGTACTAGCTCTTGTACGCGGGGCGTACTCCGGCGATCCAGAATCGGGGCCTCGGACCCTTACGCTGCGCGTACTGAGATTTACGCCCATCGTAAGTCTCAGTTTCAGCCTTGCTTGGATTTTGGTCTTAAACGGTTAAGACATAAACTCAAACTCCAGATCTGACTTCTCTAAGACCACTTA